GCATCTTATTTCTAAGAACTATAGAGAAAGGTTTCTTCAATTAAAAAAAAAATTTGTTTAAATCAAAGAAATTGTATTGCATGTTAAACAAAAGTTTCTTTGTTTTAAATGTTATTTCTTAAAAAATAAATCAAATAAATTTTTTCTTTCCCTCGAAGGTATTTCACTTCAATTAAAAAAGTTTATTAAAAAATATAATCGAATGACCATGAAAGGAACGATTTTTTTTTCAATTTATATGTAATTTTTCTTAAATATAATTCTAAAAGCTTACGCCACATTTACTTACAAACAAGTTTAAAAATCCTTGATTGTACGTAAAACAAAAAAAGTAAAATAATTATAATATTTGCAATAAATCTTTCCGAACGCGATTTTCGGTACATGTGGTGTCATCTAGCCGCTTACGCGTCAAACTCTGCTATGAAGTTTGACGGTTTTTCCTCTATTCGTCCGACGCACGTGCGGATTCGCGTGTCGTACGGATCGTTCATTTTTTGGCGCACAATTAGATACTAATAATTATCCGCGGACAATCTCGCGTGTGGTCATAGATTCACTAGATCATTAAGCGGATCACACGGAAGGGTAGTAATCTCGAGAGGCATCGCGACGATCTGGAATCTCGTTTGTTCATCTAGGTGAGTTCTCGAATCCGCTCATGTTTCGTTGCTCTTTACAACGGCTGTTCACCGTCTGTTCGGTCTCGTTTCATCTCGTTTCATCTCGTTTCATCTCATCTCGCGTTATTTCGCGTCGCAACCGTTTCATGACTTAATCGGCGATGCGATACCGTACGTCAGTTCTCGCTTCCTTTCCCGTAGTATTTTCCCTTTGCGAATAACGCATGTGCCTAACCTATGCCTTACGTAACGCGCGAAAACGCCGTGGACCGATCGCTGGCTTTCTTTTCCACGCCACGGATACCGTAACCGCAACCGCCGGTAAATTCCAGGTGAAAGGCAATGCCGTCCGACGCAAAGAAGAAACAGCAGCAGAAGAAGAAGGAGGCTGCGAAGGCGAGGCAGTCCGGCAAAAAACCGCAGAGCAATAATCAGAAGGCAGCTGAGGACGGCAAGGAGCAGAGCCCTTGCGTGCAGAATGGCACCAACGGCACGGCTATTAGCGCCGAAGGTAAGACAAAGGAGCTTGTCATTGCTTCCCGCCCATTCCCGCCTTGCAAGGTCCGAATACACTTACATCCAAGCTGCTTTTTAATTATTTTTGAATGACAGCCAACATTTAGTCAGAAACTTGATATTTAAAATTCCTAAGATATATTTCTAAAAAATATGTTGAAGAATCTTTAGTTTGACATTTCCGTGTTGCTCTGGTAGTAATAGACTGTCAAAACATTATTGAATTCTCAGTGTATTTCCTAGAAGTTTTTTAATATATATATATATATATATAGCTTATGACAAAATAAATTA